TGGAGCTGGGATGGCCAAGGATGGAGCTGGGACAGGCAGGGATGGAGCTGGGATGGCCAAGGATGGAGCTGGGACAGCCAGGGATGGAGCTGGGACAGCCAGGGATGGAGCTGGGACAGCCAGGGATGGAGCTGGGACAGCCGGGGATGGAGCTGGGACAGGCAGGGATGGAGCTGGGATGGCCAAGGATGGAGCTGGGACACTGGGTTGAGTGACCAAGCCCAAGCCTGACCCAACATCTTGATGATGTCCCATCCCTCCAGCCACCCTGGTGGGAACAAGTCCCTCTGTCCCCAGCCCTGTCCCCCACTAGCCACCCTCCTGGTGTCCCCTGGCCATGCTCATGTCCCTGCTGTGTTCCCAGACCAGGTTTTTGGCTGCTCGCTGCTGGCGCTGTGCGAGCGGGAGCGAGGGACGGTGCCGCGCTTTGTCCTGCAGTGCATCTGGACCGTGGAGAGGAGAGGTACAGGGGACAGGGACAGCCTGGGACACCGGCATGGGGACATGGGGACAGATCCAGGGACAGCCTATGTGGGATGTTTGGGTTTTCCTTGGAAGCCTGGTGCTGGCTGCTGTGGGCAGCAACACAGCTGTACTGGTCACTGTCACCATGTGCCACCTGGCTGTGGGCATCCTCCAGGGGACAGCAGGGACAGAGGGGGACCCAGAGTTCCCACAAGAGTGCCTAATGTCCCCTCCCATGTTTAACTGGAAGCTTTCCCCCATCTCCATCTGCCCAGGTCTGGACATCGATGGGCTGTACCGGGTCAGTGGCAACCTGGCCACCATCCAGAAACTGCGCTACAAGGTGGAGCATGGTACGGTCACCCGCGGTGACAGTGGGGGACAGTGGGGCAGAGGGACAGGGGAGGGGGCAGCCAGGAACCACCCAGCCATCCCTGGGGCTCTGGGCACAGCTGAGATGCTGCCTCACCCCCAGACGAGCAGCTGGACCTGGATGACGGGCGCTGGGAGGACATCCATGTTGTCACCGGGGCACTGAAGCTCTTCCTGCGGGAGCTGCCAGAGCCACTCGTCCCCTTCAGCCACTTCGACAAGTTCATCGCTGCCATCAGTGAGGGACAGGGCATGGNGAGGGGGCACACAGTACCCCCCCGGGGGTGAGAAACCCCCAGGGATGCCCCCATAGGGGACAGAGAGGTGCTGGGGGGGCTCGGAACCAGGGATGCCCCATTGCCACCCCCATGTCCCTTGTCCCCAGGAGCAGGGCAGACCCCCGGCAGTTTCTGGCCCTGCTCACCAGGGTGGGGGGGTTGTGGGGTGATGGGGGGAGGATGAGGGGTGTCATCAGGCTGCTGTCCCACTCTGATCCAGGGTGTTCCCAAGGACAGTGCACCGACTGTCACCTCCCTCGGGGTGATGGGCAGGGCTGGCTGCAGTCGGGACCTTTGTCCCCACAGCCATTACTGAGAAACTCAGACTGTAAAGCTGGGGAGATCAAAGGGTGACAGGAGGGGGTTCCCTGCTGGCAGCACCCTCCTGGTCCCAGGGGACACATCCCCCTACTCCGGCGTCCCCACGGGTGGGGTCAGCCCGGCTGGTGCTGGGGGTGCTATTTTGGGATGTGGTGATGGGACTGTCTGGTTCAGCATCCGGCTCTGGGCGGGAGGCCGGGGCTGTGGGCACTGGAAATGTCCCAGGGTGCAGGTGATGAGTGCAGGGGTGCAAGTGTGGGTGACATGAGTGTGAGTGTTGGGGTGCCCACCAGAGGGGTGGGCACAGAGGCTGGGGGTGCAGAGGATGAGCAGGTTGGAGGTGTTGGGACCGCAGGTGTCAGTGCAGAGATTGTGGGTGTTCATGGTTTGGGTGTCAGTGCTGTGGCTGCTGTGGAGAGCAGGTGATGCAGGTACCAGTGATGGGGGTGCTGTGGAGAGCAGGTACCAGTGATGGGGGTGCTGAATCCAGGGGGTGATGCAGGTACCAGTGATGCAAGTGTGGGTGATGCAGGTACAAGTGACACAGGTGCTGCATGAGTGGGTACCAGGGACACAGCTGTTGATGATGTGGGTGACATGGGTGCCAGTGACATGGGTGCCAGTGACATGGGTGCTGATGATGCAGTGACACCGGTGCCAGTGCTGCAGTGCTGCTGCAGTGCTGCACACAGTGGGTCGTGCAGGTACCAGTGACATGGTGCTGGTTGGGAGGGTGCTGCCAGCAGGAGGTGACACAAGTGCTGGACCTCGATGTCCCTCCCTGTGCCAGTGGGTGCTCCCTGCCCCACTCCAGGTGCTGTGGGTGCCCCTCTCCACCTCCTGGCCTCCCATCACTGGCATCTCCTGCCCCACACTTTTTGGGGGCCTAGGTCATTTTTGGTGACCCAGCAGCCAGGGCAGGATCTGACCCCTCGGTGCCTCACCCATTGGCCACTTGGACACCACAGTGGGGACACCCCAGGAGTGCCATCCCAGGAATGCCATCCCAGGAATGCCATCCCAGGAATGCCATCCCAGCTCAGCAGTGACACATCCGTGTTCCCCCAGGCACGCAAGGAGTCAGAGGAGACACCTGATCCCATCTACCTCAACATCCAGGAGCTGCGGGCAGAGGCCGCC